AATTTATTGCAAATTAGTGGATTCGCACTTATATATATAAAGCTTTTATAAAATATGTAGAAACAGACAACGTAGTCAATAAGTACAGATGTACAATAAGTCAATACATTCGTCCCGGAAGCCGAAAACCTTTTCCATTGTCAAATTGAAAGTAAGTTTGAAAAATAATTTGTATTTTTAGGCAAATCACAAACTCATCGGTTTTGTTCAAAAACTGTGCAGATACGCGCCAGGGCTCAAGCTACTGTTAAAACTAGATACAAAAGTTTTGTCCCAAGATTTTTATAGTTGTCAACTATAAAAATAATAACATATATAAATAAAACTCAGTAGGTAGCTGTAAGTGCTTGCAAACAAGCGCAAGTTTCACAAAATTGATAGATTTGATTTTTTACCCCAATTAGTTGCAATGCTTTTTTCAGAAATGACGATGCTATAAAACAGACATTTATATATTTACACACCGTAAAATTAGAAATTAATTCCCATTTCGCTCCTATTCAATTCAAATAATGAATATGGAACATTGAGTAAAAAAAGAAACGCATGTGACGGCAAATGTGAAACTCGCTATCATAAAACATGTATTTTTATATCAACTTTCTGTTGAATTGTTTCCCCTTTAACAGGGAAGAAATGAACAATTCGTAGAAAATAAACTAAACTTTAAATAAAACTATTCCAAATCATTGATAATTAAGAACATTTGAGCTCAACAACAAAAACCTGATTAAAATTATAACCATTAACAATTTAATATAAATATATTAAACCATCAATGAACCACCAGCACTTTACGGAAATTACAAGTTTACCAATGGAAACATATTTTCCAATATCTTATGGTACATCGATCATATAGGCGTAGAAAGAGTGGAATATATCTATGGCGATTGATATGTTGCTCTCGCTTCTATACGGAAGGACGAAGAATGCGCTTGCCGCAGTTCAAATGGATCAGTATTCTACGAGGGGCAATTTTAATTGAATCAAAAATCAAACTGGAATTTGTTGTGTCTTTCCTGGATGATTCAAGTCTTGGCCATAATTAATTTTTCACTTGAAACTTTGCGAAAAATCAGGACAAACCCAAAAAGGTTTAATTTACTTGTTTTTTGGCAGAAGATATTAAAAATATCCTAAATCGGACGAGATTTTCCTAACAGAATTGATTTCCGTTTACAGGCCTTGGAGCGGCACCCTCTCGAGAAATAGAATATAATCTGTTTTACATTTTTTAGTATACAGAAACCGTCTTAAAGTGAAAGGACAGAAATACATTTGATGTGTCTATTTACTTACTTACTCATAAGTAGTACACTTATTATAGCTCAAGACAAATGAAAAAGTTCAGCTCCAATTACCATTATGACGGTTGAACTTCTCATTACGCTCGCCACCCAATCTCTTGAGAGGAAAATTAGGTAAATTACACGATCACATCACTGACAAATGTTATATGTTCGATAACGTTTGTCTGTACTAAACGGCTGCAATCGTTATATTAATAATAATAATAACAACTTTTATTCCAAAACTGTGTACATCACAAGTAGTGAAATAACGTCAACAAATAATGCACAATCTTATCAAGTATCACCTACTGTTTCCTTAACGTTACACAAATACGCTGCCAAATTGTACTATTTCTACAAGTAATTTGCTAACAGCTTTTTTAATAACGTTAATATTTGTAGTTTAATGCAGCTATATCGTTGTTTGGGAATCATGTATACTTATTATGTTTCTCCTGGTATATGACTCCAGTAAATGACTCTTTATGTTTAACGAAATATGGGATATAGGAAAAAAACACTCTTGAGCTTCTAAGGAGAAAAAAATTGACTTATACTTAGACACACTTTAGATAGCGCAGTTTTTTATTAGTTAAATTTTCTGAGGTTGGTGTCGGGGAACCGAAACCTCGTTATAAACATGTAAAGGTCGAGAGAACTGGGTAAAACTTGTTAGATTCAAACACTTATTCCTCGATAAATCACAGGAGCATCTCAAAAAGACATGTTTCTAGGTGTTTAAAAATCCATAAATATTTGGAACATATTGTTATAACGTCGAAATTTACTCCTTATGATATGGTTGTGGATGTTGAACACTCAAATCCGAAGAAAAAATATTTTTAGTGAAGAGGTTTTGGATAAAACACGTATTTTATGTGAGTATACTTACAAGGTGTCCGTTAGAGATATGCGGATTTCAGAATGTATCGGAATAAATAAATGAACATATTTTGTCATATCTACAAAATTAAAGCTTGAATTTTTGCATACAAAAAGAGATCTTCTCTTCTCAGCCATCTTTCATAAACGAAGTTGTTATAAGCATTTTATAATTTCAAAGATGGATTTGAGAAGAAAAATATAAATTTACTAAAAAAAATGCATGCTTTGTACAAAACTTGAATTTGCATTACTTTTACTAAAATAAATCTTTGATTGGCAATTGCCAAGCAACTTGGTTACCGTTGATAAAAATAACATTCTCAGCTGTCGTAAACAATATGATATTTTACAAGTTTTCAAACAGACTCACCCGAAAGTGCCATTGCAGGTTGTCGCGAAAGTGGAGTACCAAAGAAGCGACATACAAAAATGTCGACTCAGATTTGTAACTGCTAGTGAATTTTTTATGATGTGATATGTAAATTGATTTTTGCAGCAGAATCAGTGAACAAGAAAAACCTGCTAGATCATCTACTTAGTGATTTTCAAATCGCAATTGCAGTAAAGCATAATTGAAAGTTACGATACGAAATTTATATGGAAGTGGATTTGTCCTACACAGGATTGAAAATAAGTTGACGTTTTTACAAAAACAGATTCTAGATTGGAAATATTATATTTTATTGGCATATCTAAATTAGAATTTCAAATACAGCACCTTATAATATTCCAATAATAATTTACGGCAATATTTCAACTCGAGTTTTTCAGCATACTTAATCGAATAATAAAAATGAGGCTCCATGCTCACTAAACAGGATATTGTTACCTAGTGATTCCTTCAGGGGTTTCAAATTTTACATAATAACGTTAGAGAGAAAAAATGTGTTTCCTGGTTTTGAAAATATCCCGATAATAATTAAATATCGTACACCCCTGGGTATTTCGGAAGCGTTTGAAGAAAATGTTTGGTTTAAACACCCACTATAAATGACACAAACAATAAATATGTATTTGTAGACCTGGAGTCTTTAGAGGATATTAAACAGCCAATATAAACAATTGACATTGTCGCAAGCAAAACATGTAGCTAGTACTTGACAATTTAATTTACATTTTACATTAAGTAAATCGTTGTATATGTTCCGGTACAACTTGAAGAACGCAGCAGAAATGTTCTCTAATTCAGCAGTCAAGAAGTAAACAAAGTTTCAACAGTTTTAATTGAGCCTGGTGAAACAAAGCCAAAATCGCTGAGTTTTTTAATTAAGCAAACGTACATAATTGGCAGATAATTGATCCCTCTGAGCAAGCACCGCTAAATGGGCTGTAAATGATTACGGATTTACAAGTTGTTGCTCATATTAAAACGATGTTTAAGAAAATATATTTTTTTCTAAATGGTGTAAAAGTTAAAGGCAAATTTTCATTCAATTTATCCGAAACCAGAAAACATTTTATACAAACATGCATACATATACTAAAAACTAAAAAATTAAATATTGGAATATTTGACAAACGCTTAATTTCATTGAAATGACTCGAATTAATATTTTGAAATACATTGATTGAACATGCAGTAACAATACATAAATTGTGGACAAAACATCAACATTTTCCTTGATCCATACCGATGCCATTTGGAACTGGAATCAAACTCTAACAACACGAATCAAACACAGCACCCTTCCTAGGGACAGCAGATATTTCAGTAGAATACGCGGGAAGAAGCATCCGGGCAGCAATATAAGACAGATTGGAGCGGTCCTTGGTTGAACTTTGCGGATGAGGAAGAAGAAATGCGTGAAAAACTTAATGCGTAGGTTCTCATCTTGCGCACAGAACGGACATGTGCCAGATGAACAAAAACGACCTGTGACTTGGAGGAAGCTGGCATGAACAGGTGGAAATTGTTCGGAAAAAAGACGCAACGACAGCTGGGTTATCATTAATTTTTCAATATTTGACTAACCCTACACGCGTTATATGACCGAGTTAATAAAAAAGTAATTGCTTTGTGAAGATACGGATAAAATGCTAATTTTGGATTAGTCGTTTATTGATTTGTAAAAATAGCATCGGTATTAAATAGATAGGACATGGATGGTGGGCTAAACTATTCAAAGTTTTTAGTTGTCTTTGTGATCAACGATCGCTTGGTGGGAAATTCTGAAATTTGTTTTCTCCCGAATATTCCATATACTATTGATTGATTGTTTATGTGGCGCAGATGAAACATTTGAGATTCGAACTAAATACTCTCACTAACTGCCTTCACGTGTATTAAGGGGGATGCTAAGGAGGAACGTACTCACGTTGGGAATATTGCGCTCGACTGACATTACGATACTAAATGGGGATATTACGAATTGGAAGCAAAACAAACACAAATTACGGATTCCGTGATAATTTCTCTGTTTCAATATATTGAGTGCTAGGTGTTTCCACAGCTTGCTCCATTTACCGAGCTAGAGTGGGTCAATATAGAGGATAGATGTCACATAGTCGCGTTTATGAGAATGTTCCCTTGATTGTGACTAAGTGAAACATTAAGGTCGAGATTCTGACGCGAGAGCCACATACTCCCCGGGAGAAAGATTGCGGTTGCAAATCGAACTCTGGATATCTAATAAAGTTTTTCCCTGTTCCGGTAGGAAAAACCTCCCAGGGAGTGTGCACTCCCTTGTGGGTAATCCGCACACAGGTCAGATGCAGCTGGTCATATTCCGGGCACAACCACATAGAATAGAGTTCAAGTAGGGGCATAGTAAGAAGACGTTAGAAGTTTAGGTTGGGCGGTGACGTCACTTTTTTCGTTACCTTTATCAATGGCCATGAAGGGAGCCGCGGGCACACGTGGGCGCCACGCTGATGCCCATGCCAATGGATGCCTAAGCGTTAGCGAGGCGCCATGGATCGTTTGCATTGGCACTCACTCACCGGGGCCCGATCTGGACGCCTGGGCCCCATCTCGTAAAAATCGGGATTTTAGAGCCACGGACCAACGACTCAGCCCGCGATCGTGGCGCTTACTTGCGTTTTGTGTTGCGCCGAGACTATTAGGCAGCCGCCAACAGACGCCGCGCCGCGGCGCAACGAGTTTAGCCAGGGGTGCATCCGGCCATTTCTCAAGCCCACGCTTTTCAATTTAGATCATTCCTGCCGACATAAATGCCAGGTCCAGGCGCGGACCGAAGGTGCTATTTTCGCCCCTCGCCGTTAACTGCCTGACCTGGCCGCGAGCGATAGAACGGCTCCCAAGCCCTAGCTTTGCAGCAGGAGCGCCTAGTGCGTTTCAGGCAAGGGTGGGCGACATTAAATAGGGCTGCTCTGGCTGGAAACTATTTGGGCGCATTCGCCACTGAATTAAAGCTCGAGGCTTAGGCGCTTTAGCGGTTTCCCAGTCTCAGCATCAAGCTATATCTAAATATTGGCTTCATTGGCGGCTAGTGGTTGGCTAGGGAAACACTTAAACAGCTTCCAGAGGTCGTCAATCTATTGGAAAATGGCGCTAAAATATTGAGCGACGCATTCGCCATTTCACTTTGACATATGACATATGTCTGCGTAGAACTAGACAAATATTTATACATACGAACAGCCAAAATGGGCAATTAGAGTTTTACTTAATGTGTCTCAATTTGAAGTGTCGAACGAAAATTTATCATTTTTAATGCGATTTTTTTATCGTTAATGTTGTGCCTGTTATGTACACAGGATGGTCCAAAAATAAACCACGACCTTCAACTTCATTTAAAATTAAAACACTGTCTATTTTTATTTTGAATTCCCCATTAATTTCCAAGTAAGATTTAGGTTGCGTCTCTAAATTAAAATAGTAAAAAATTATTTTGCAAAATAACCCCGCAAACCAAACTGGTAACATTATATAAATGTTATGTAATCTTTGGGACTTAAATTGTATGTAACGCTTTTACGTAACAGTGATGTAACATAAGAAGAGCAGAAAAACACATTTTTCGTGACAGCGATGTTATGTAACCGTGATGTAACATGGTTTACCACATGGGTATCATCTGGTGTGATTCAAATTTCTACCGAATTCTACTACGTTCCACGGACAACCCGTAGAGCCACACAAAACAACCGTCCTATGAAAATGAGCCAGACACGAGGCAAGACAGGTCATTTTTATTGGGTACTTTTTCTATCAGACGCAAGTTCTTGTTCATTTGCAGTTTGTTTGTGCATTGAGCATTTTCAGTTATTACTTTAAAACATCCTTAACAAGTAGAACTTTCGAGTCCTTCCACGATTTGAGTATTTCAAGGTAAATGAGCAGACGTATGTCTGCGTAGAACTAGACAAATATTCATATATACGAACAGCCAAAATGGGCAACTAGAGTTTTACTTAATGTGTCTCCATTTGAAGTGTCTAACGAATCCCAGAAGTATTGGCACAAAAAATTTGAAAATTTATAATTTTTAATGCGATTTTTCTATCGTTAATGTTGTTCCTGTTATGTACACAGGATGGTCCAAAAATAAACTACGACCTTCAACTTCATTTAAAATTAAAACACTATCTATTTTCATTTTGAATTCCCCATTAATTTCCAAGTATGATTCAGGTTGCGTCTCCTAAATTAAAATAGTAAAAAATTATTTTGCAAAATAACCCCGCAAACCAAACTGGCAACATTATATAAATGTTATGTAATTTTTGTGACTTAAATTTTATGTAACGCTTTTACGTAACAGTCATGTAACATAAGAAGAACAGAAAAACACATTTTTCGTGACAGCGATGTTATGTAACCGTGATGTAACATGGTTTACCAGATATACCTTTAAAACATCCTTAACAAGTAGAACTATAGAGTCCTTCCACGATTTGAGTATTTCAAGGTAAATGAGCAGATGTATAGATTTTTATCTATTTCCTACTGGTTAGTCAGATACCAAAAATTACCATGTGATTTTATAGACTTGTCGTATTTTAGCTAACACGAGTTCTTCAATTCCCAATAAAAAGTTGAAAATAAATAATTCTTATAATAAGAATACTGAGTTAGGTAAAAAAGTTACTAGGTATATTTTAATAAAAAATTTAGCATTTCGAATTATGTTTTCAATAATATAACACACCATAAATGATATTGGTTTCCTATGCGATCTAGGTAAACTTTATAATGATAATATAATAAAAATCCTAACAACGGAACTACGACACTTATATCACTTTTTTGATAGCAACAACCATTACGGAGATTGTGTCCGAGTTGACATAAGTGTCGAAAATGGGACACCCTGTACAACTCAGCGTTTTCAATTAAAAAATGCAAATAGCTAATAATCATAAAATCATTTAATGCAACTGCAACATAATAATTACAAATTCATTTGGAGGTATATCATAACGTCAAAAATTAAAGAAATTTTTCGAAATGTAGTTCAACCACTTTAATATAATTTCCCCATTGTCTAACTAATGAATGTAGTGCAGTTGGCTGAATTCTCCGGTTAAAACTTTGTCTTGAACATGTCCCCAAACGGAAAAGTCCAGCGCATTTAGATCCGGTGATCTGCGTGCCCAGACATTAATTCCTTTCAAGCCGGCGAATTCAATACAGCCATTTCAAGCTATTCGGCGATTCAATTGTATTCAACTTTCATGTCTTGTCAATGTTGTTCTGTAGGTCAGAAGTGAGAAATTCAAAGAATGGTTCAATCATTCTGTTCTAAGTATTGAGAGTCAGTTTTAAAATAAATAATAAAAATAAGTTTTCGAATAAGAAACTAAGTTGTGAGACTTAGCCGTTTAACTAAAACTATTTTTATTAACCTAATTAACTAATGCGAGTGACCAATTGTGACCCATTTACATAAAGCAACAGTTTAGACACATATGTGGAAAATTCAATTTTCAAATGTATGCTTTAGATTTATGAAATTTGTATTATTTATTGAAACAGCCATGTTTCAAGATAAGTATATTACACAGGATCAGGCAAATAATACATGTTAAATGCTAAATAATAATATAATACATGTTAATGCCACCGTGAATCCGTTTTAAGATTTTGTAGTGAAAGTGGTTTATTTGTCTCAACAAACTAGTTTTCAAAAATAGTTAACATTCTCTCGGTTATCACGATTTGCACGTTTATTCGTTAATTTACGATTTGGGTACGAAATGTTTCCAATTATAGACAGTTTCGATCGATTTTCAGAAATACTTTTCCTTTGTTCACAAAAACACCTCTATAAAAAAGGCAATCCATATAGATGAAGACAGGTTTTTTAAGGGAGAAAGCTGTCATTAATTGTTTCAAGCCATATTGTTTGGTAAATATTTGAATTTCCAAAACTTTAATATTTCTTAAAGCGAATTTAATGAGAGAATTTGTCAAGCGGGATATTTTGCTAGTAATTATTTAGAAATAAGTTTAAGATTAGACGTCAACTATACCAAATTTTGTATCTCAATAGTTGATAAGTTCAAGCATTTACTTCAATCAGTTCATTAATATCGTAAAGCGACAACTACCCGATATAAAGGGCCACCCCTTGATTTTCGTAGAACAGGGAAACTTATTAATTAAGGACATGCGACTATTACTTTCCAAGGATATCAGTCACGTAGGTACAACTCGACGCTTGTAGGCAATACAAGGAACATAAAAAACAGCTAGAGTAGCAACTAGTGATAACTTGAACTTAAGTGACTTTGGTCATATACATTGCGTGTGATTTTGAAATACAACCACAATATTTAGGAACTTACGTAATAAATAAAGAGACGGCAAGGCTAAGGCGCTCGACTGCTGTCACGCTAAATCGGTCGCCCTTTATAAAAATTCGATTGGTGTCAGAGTCGGAGACTTGGAATTTTCCAGAATGGGTCCCAGGAAATAGCAGTGTCTTAAGCAGCAGAAACATTTTAGTGCTGAATACAAGTGCTTCTGCTTTGGAGATTAATTACCGAATTAACTCTTTTGATGTTTTTCGAGTGGAACAATGTTAAAGTGTAACACTCAATAAAGTGTTACGCAATAGATAGTTGGGATACTTTCACAGCATCTAAATCCTGGAGCTACTGCTGATGCCCGACATGTTTCTTATACATTGTTGAAGTTCCTCCATACACAATTTTGGAGTTCTATCATACTCATTTTGGAGTTTATTAAGCAGGCCACATGATTACAAGCTTTGGTTACGCACAAAAATCGGAAAATTTCAAGGATTATTAGCGCTAGAGTCTCTATTTAGATATAATAATACTTTATATTATTTAATTTGTCAGTTACCAATTTTGTTAAAACTGTCAGTTGGCATATTAACTGAAAATGGAATAGTTTAAAATTTCCTGCAGCCACAGAAACTTTGAAGCCGTCCTGAAGCAGAGATTCTTCTATTAGCAAAAAAACTTATATATTTGTATTTTGTTTGGCTCTAAGGATTTCGACATTCCAGTCATTTGAAGTCATTTTAAAAAGTTAGCTGAATTTTAGAAACTTGCCTAAAAGTCCTGTTGTTTTCGAAATTTCTAAGTTTTGTGAATATTTTCTTAACTTATATCACGAAAAGTCCACTAGTTTTGCTTTGCGGAAATGCGGAATTTACTTGCTAACGGTTACTACTCGCATTTTGAAAAGTTTGTGGAAATTTTGAAAGGAATTATGGAAGTAAATCTTGGTTGAAATTTTGAACTTTCAAGTTTTGATCATCAGACTCGTTTTCATCTACTCGTTTCCTTCTAACTCTACTTTGAATCACGCAATAGTGTTGTGTTTTGTTTCGTTTAGCACGCATTTATTTCTGGTGTTTGAAATATGAAACCTCAATGATTGGTTTGATAAGACTTTTCTATTTAATTATGTAAATTGGAGTACAGCTTTTGCGGGTTTTGTCAAAACTAAATTAACAAAAAAACTGTGGCGATTTTGGGCTTTAAAAATTGAGCCGAATTTGGGAAACGAGTTTAATGTTTTTTAATGCTGGTTGAAATTAGAAATTGTTGAATTATGATGATTCATAATTTTACTCGAAGCACAAAGTCTACAAGGTGTTTTTGAAATTAACTACCAGATTTTTGCAG